TTTTTTTTTATATTGTTGAACGTATGCGTCCTCCGAATGTACTGGACGTGACGGAAATTTACAAGCAGTTTAATTATAAACTGCGTTCAACTTTTAGTGTATAGAGACTGTCAATGCTTTCAATCTGTAAATAACAATGATTGCTATATCATTTAACAAAAATTCTTTAATTATGTCTGCAGGCTGTGATGACAGATCAAAGTTGCAAATTAAAGAATTGAAATTGCAAGAGCCGACGGGGAAATTTAAAAAATATATAAACAAATACAGAATTGTCAGTGCAACTGTAGGCGAATGGTTTGACAGGTTGACAGTGAATGTAATGGTGTACCACTTGAACTAATTGGAGAGCATTCCGTTGGCAATAGCGTACGCAATCTGCAATAAATAATCATAATGTATGGATTAATTCTCGAGAATTTAGCCGAATATATCAGGCAAGTTTACGGGGAAGAGAAATGGGAAGAAATACGTCGACAGGCGGCTGTAGATCAGCCGAGTTTCAGTGTTCATCAAGTATATCCTGAGAATTTGATACCAAGACTTGCAAAAAAAGCCATTCAAGTGAGTTTAATGCCTGCCACCATGCGAGATAAATTTTCCATAAAAATAATAAAAAATAAAATAAAATGGAAAAAAATTATTCAGGTACTGGGAGTATCGGAGAAGGATTTCTTTGATCAGATGGGTGTACATTTTGTGGGATTTGTTGGACAGTACGGATATGATCGAGTTTTATCAGTACTTGGTCGACATGTTCGAGATTTTCTCAACGGCCTCGACAATCTCCATGAATACCTCAAATTCTCTTACCCCAGAATGCGCGCACCATCCTTTATCTGCGAAAATGAAACCCGTCAAGGTGAGTCTTTATTTTTTAAACCGCAGGATGAAATGTTGTTTAATATTTCAAATGTTTCAAGGCTTGACGTTGCATTATCGAAGCAAACGTCGAGGTTTTGTTTATTACACGATGGGACAGATTCGAGAAGTTGCCAGACATTTTTACCACAAGGAATTGCAAATCGAACTTGTCCGGGAAGAAGTGCTGTTCGACACTGTTCATGTCACCTTTCAATTGACATTCGATAATCGAGCTTTTACATTCGCATCATTGGCAATGACTCGAGAAGAAAAACACCTGCCGATTGGTGCATCAGTGCTTTTTGAAATTTTCCCTTTCTGCATTGTCTTCGGGTATGATTATTTAAATAATCCCCCTCTCCCCCTCAAAATTCATCATTACATTATTATTTTAATTAGATCCGACATGGTAGTGCGAAGTATTGGTAATTCATTGATGGTGATTCTTCCTGAATTAATTGGAAAAAAAATCACTCACTGGTTCGATCTCGTTCGGCCTTTGATTGCCTTCAAATTTCAATCGGTAAATTATTTTATTTAATTCAAACTTCTACATAATTCTCCTTTTTCAATTAACCTCCGTAATTTATTGATGATTGATAATTATTGATGATTGTTTTTTAGATATTGAATAGGACCAACAATATTTTTGAATTAGTTTCCGTCGAGCCGATCCTGACCGAACGACCACCGGATCGAAAAAGAAATACCATAATGCTGAGTGATGACAGTCTTAACGCACCTGATGATAAAACATTGAGATTAAAGGGTCAGATGATTTATATGGATAATTGGAGGATGATGATGTATCTTGGGACACCTGTCATGCCGGATTTAAATGCATTAATTGCTACTGGACTATACATCAATGATCTTTCGATGCACGACTTCAGCAGGTTCGCTCAGAACAATTATATCTCAATAAAATAAAAAGAAAATTAGTGATAAGGCTTATTACATTGTTATCACAGCCCATGAGGTTTGATCTCCGATTTTTTGAAAGAAGTGAATTGTTTTATTAATAACGGAATAAATTTTTTCCAGTCCCTTACCCTTGATTTCTCTCTGGTTTAAAATTAATTTAAATATAATGAAATCGAATGTTTTTTATACCCGACCCAGGGATCAGGGCGCATTATTGTTATTATTATTATTATTATTGCATAGATAAGATATTGATGATGATTGTTTAGAGACCTGATGCTCGCTGGAACCCAACAATCAGTGGAGCTGAAATTAGCCCTCGACCAAGAGCAGCTGAAGAGCAAGAAATTGGAGGAATCGATGAGGAAATTAGATGAAGAGATGAAGCGCACTGATGAATTATTGTATCAGATGATACCGAAGCAAGTGGCTGATCGTTTACGTAATGGCGAGAGTCCCATTGATACCTGCGAGGTAAAAATCACTGAAACGTGGCGATTGAATTATTCGATAAATATTCTCTTTCTGCAGATGTTTGACTCGGTATCAATTCTCTTCTCGGATGTTGTTACATTTACTGCGATTTGCAGTCGTCTGACACCGATGGAAGTTGTGTCAATGCTCAATGCCATGTACTCTTTGTTTGACACATTGACAGAAAGAAATCGAGTGTACAAGGTGATATTCCCATTTTTTTACTCGAAAATATTTCACCTGAAAATATTCAAAAAAATCTTGTATCTCAAGACATTGCGTTATAATTATATTATTTTTTTAAATATTATAAATTAAAGGATTATGATATGAATTGTTTATTTTGAGTTGTGTTATTTGAGTGGAATTATAATTTTTATCAAATTGAAATTCCTATTTTTATGAGGACATTGTTATTTATTGAAACTTAATTTAATAATTTAATTTAATTTAATTTAATTTAATCTAATTTACTTAATTCTGTAATAATATTAATTAGGTGGAAACGATTGGAGATGCTTACATGGTAGTCTCCGGAGCACCATC